ACAATATCCAACCGAATTTAATCTATCAGCATCACCCATGTTTGCAGCTTTTTGAAGATATTCAAATGCTTTTTGTTTATCCTTTACAACTCCAAATCCAATTCGATAACAATTTCTAACAGTGTTTATTCCATGAACATAACCCATATTGGCACTTTTTTGATAATATTCAAATGCTTTTGTTAATCTAAGACTAGAATAGTGACCATCAAGCTAGGTAGGCGAGGGCTTAAAGGCTGGAGCCAATCATACAGGAAGCATTACAGCTAATTTCAAAATTTGCCGACTACTCTAAAAATTTATCCCGAATTATTGTTGGGATAGGTAATCATAAGTTCTATATTATGTATTATATTAATATCGATGTAGTATGTTTTATTAAAATATAAAAACAAATACAAGGTTCCTGGCATCGATATCAATATAATACATACACGATAAATTTTTAGAATTTTGAAATTAGCTATAATGTGATTGGCTAATATGTACGATTATTAGACAATCAGAGTATATAAATATTTTTACATGGATCTACATATAATTTACACACTTAAGTTTTTTTTTAAATTATTTACTTTTAGAGCTCGAGCCATGTCATATCTATACTTATACTGCGACGTTACTCTGCCTATTAAAGATGTTTTTGATTCTCTGTCTAAAGATTCTATTGTCGAGCTAATCTTATTTGTACTCAAGTTTAAAACTCGAAGAGTTTTATTTTTTACCAAGATTTCTGAAATTATGTGTTCTGATTGGAAAGCGAGATTATTTGAACTAAGGTTTAATAATTTAAGATTCTTTGAAGTTATTAAGAATTTTCTTAATCTTTCTACCGTTTTAGAAGTAAGATTACAACTGCTCAAATCTAAATTCTCGAGACACTTGTTATTTTCCAAAGGAGTAAAGCTTATATCGGACCAATCAAAAGGATATTTGCTTAAGTTTAAGATGATAAGAGACGTATTTTTTCCTAAAGCTTCTATCAACGCTTTTCCTTTTTTAGTGAATTTTCACTATTACTGCTTAAATTCAATTCAACAAGACGGGTTTTATTGGCTCTTATTATCTGGATTACTATATCAGGTTCAATACACGTAGCTTTTAAGTTTAATTGAGTGAGAAATTCATTACTTTCTAAAACAATCCTGAGTTGTTTTGCCAATCCCACACTGATATTATTATAACTTATATCTAAGCTAGTATAAGTTTTATTTGTTTTTAAAACTTCTATCAGCTCTTTACCCATTTCAGTATTAAGTTTCTTGTAGCTTAAATTTAATTCACTATTTTCAGAGCTTGAATAATCATCATAAACGTTTTAACCTATTCCTCCCAAATTTGTTTCGTCATCTTCATCCAATAGAAGAACGCACCAATGAAGTTCAGGAACCTTTACAAAATCTTCTTCTTCAATTTCATCTAGAGATTCATTCTCAGTTTTTCGAACACTAATATTAACATGAATCGTTTTATCATGATAATCTTTAACTTTTGCAATAAAGTATTGATTGTAATCAGATTTAGGGTATTTGAATGTAGTAATGAGAATTGCACTTGATTGTAAAATTTCTGAAGTTTTTAATTAAATATCACAACTTTCTATTCCTGTAGCATCTTTTGCTAGTGCTTTCGGAGTAAATATACACTTATTAAAATACACAATAGGGATACTTTGTATATTCGATTCAAAAATACCAACTTCGGATAGTATTCCTATCAATATCCAAGTTATTTGCAAATTCAAATTATCAAGCTTATCATCACTGAATAAAATTATAAAATAATAATTAACAATATGATAAAGAAAAAAAAAATTAAATATGATTAAAACTTTAAAACTTATGAAAAGATTTCAATTATCGCCGAAAATCCAGATTTATCTTTAGATTTAAATTTAACATTAGCATTTTCAAATTGAGTACTATCCTGTTTCAAGACTTTACTGAAAATTTGATAATTTGTTGATTCTAAAGAAGAATCAAAGTTCACATGATATTTAAATTGTGAACTTTAATCGGTATTACACCAGATTTAAGAACTTTTTCTTTAACTTCGCTACTGATCATTTGTTTATTTCCAAGACATAATTTGACTTTTGACATAAATGTGAATTTAATATTTCGTATAAAGGATATAAACCTTCCCAACTAATAATTTTTAATGAATCAGGACTCTTTTTTAAGCAAGAAATTGCCTATTTTTTAATACCATTTCTCTTAACCACATCACTATTAATCGGTGTTTTCACTTATCAAGGATAGAATCAGATAGGATTTAAAAGGATAAGGTGAGAAGGGAATACGAATAGATTAGGATAGGGTCAGAATGGAATTCAATAGAATTGGATTGGGATTCAAAAAAATAAAGCTAGTATGGGATTCAAAAAAATAAAGCTAGTATGGGATTCAAAAGAAGTTATAGTGGGATTTAGGTTAGAATAGGATTCAAATAGATAGAATATTTTTAGAATTAAAATTGGTAATTTGTTATTTAAATAAATTTTTTTGATTTTTTATAAATTATTATTTTATTTAATTATTTTATAATTATTATTTAAGTATTATTTAATAATTATTTAATTATT